GTCCTCTCGAACCAGGACTCCGCTGATTGCTGCGCTGGAGACCGCAACATAGAGTAGCAGAGTGTCGCCGTACTCAGGTTTGGCCAGGATCGGTGGTGTCGAGAGGTAGGTTTTGAGCTGCACGAACGCGTCTTCACACTTTTTGTCCCATTCGAATCGCTTGTTGCCTTGTAGGAGTTGATAAAAGGCAAGACACTTGTCTGTAGATCGTGATATGAATCTGTTTAGCACGGCTATTCTTCCTGTTAGGCGCTGAACTTCGCGAGTGTTAGTTGGCGAGGGTAGCTCCAAGATCGCAGAGATCTGCTTAGGATTGGCTTCGATGCCACGCTGAGTGACCAAGTATCCTAGAAATTCGCCGGTTGTGATTGCGAAGGTGCATTTTGCGGGGTTGAGTTTCATGCCATACTGGTTCAGTATGAGAAAGCATTCTCGCAGATGGATGATATGGTCGGCTGCTTGAGCTGATTTGACGAGCATATCGTCTATATATACCTCCATCATCTTCCCAAGCTGGTCGATGAACATCTTGTTGACCAGGCGCTAGTAAGTGGCTCCAGCGTTTTTAAACCAAACGGCATGACCTTGTAGCAGTAGGTGCCCCGATTTGTGATGAATGCGGTCTTCTCACTGTCGTCCGGATTCATGAGAATTTGATTATATCCTGAGAATGCATCCATAAAGGAGAGTAGCTCGTTGCCTGCCGTAGCCTCGACGAGCTGATCGATACGAGGAAGAAGGAAACTGTCCTTCGGACAAGCTTTGTTGAGGTCGGTGAAATCCACGCAGACCCGCCACTTGCCGTTTTTCTTTTTGACGACCACCGGATTGGCTCGCCAATCCGGATACTTTACTTCGGCGATTGATCCGGCCTTCAGGAGCTTATCTACTTCATCGTGGACGGCTTGTGCTCGCTCAGGTCCTAACTTTTGTCGTTTCTACTTGATCGGCTTGAAAGTCGGGTCGACGTTCAATTCGTGACTCGTTATTCGGGGGTTAATGCCCTTCATGTCGGCCATTGACCACGCAAACGTTGCGACGTTCTCTCGGAGGAAACTGATCAGCTTGTCCTGCATGCTAGGCAACAGTTCCGTACCGATACCGACGCAACGTTCCGGGTGGGCAGCATCGATGTTGATTTGGGCGATAAGATCGCTCTTCGGCTGCTCGTCGTGATGAACAATTTGTGGATCGAAATCGCTACTACTGCCGATCACGAACGTCGATGCTTTGCGGGCGCGCTTGTTGTCGATGTAACAGTGTCGGGACACTGTCTGATCACCACGGATGGTGATGACACAGCCCCTGATCGGCATCTTGATGCATTGATGGTAATGAGAAGGGACGGCCCGCATGGCATTCAGCCATGGCGTTCCAAGGATGGCATTGTAGATCGCAGATCGGTCGATAACCTCGAACTTGACCGTAATTGACTTCCCGCGTATGGTAACAGGCATCGTTATCGTTCCTATCGTTGAGATCGAGTCTCCAGCGAATCCAGTGAGGGGTGACGGTGCGACTTTGATGTCCCGTTCCGGGATACTCATCTTCCGTAGAGTATCCATGAAGATGAGGTCAACCGAACTTCCAGTGTCGATCAATACTTTAGAGACGTCGTCTTCTCCGAGTCGTAGTGAGATGACGAGTGGATCGTTATGAGGTCGGTCTATGAACTGCGCGTCTTGCTCTGTGAATGTGATTGGTAGGTCGTCCTTGAATAGTAGTGGGGCGTCCTTCGGAGGATTGGCTGCCTTCCGTTCATGCCGTTTAATTAAATTTATCGAGTCGGTGCACGAGAGGAGCCCTCCCATGATCATGTTGATCCGCCGACATGGTGAGCTTGGAGGTGTGTGATCATCTTCACGGTCACGCTTTGCTTCCTTACCCTCGCGTTTAGAAGAGTGATCGGTGTTATCTCTTCTATCACGATCGTCATCGGGTCGCCTGTCCTCATCGTCGGATCGTCGTGAACTCCAGGGTTCTGGAAGGGTGATCTCGCCATCGTCCCACCTCTTCCTCAAGAGGGCTGGGAGGGTGCGGCAATCATCGGTATGATGACCGTGCGCCCTATGGTATTTGCACCACGGCTTCTTGCTGTCGGGGTCTCTGTCGCTCGAGCGGTCCCACACGTTCCATGGCTTTTTTGGTCGTCCAACTGCGTTGATGCTCTTGCGATTCTTGTCATCCTTGTCGTAGTGCTAACGGAGCTCTTTGTAATCGTCCTGACTCGACGATCTGCCTTTCTTGTCGCGCGAAGATTTCTCATCGGCCAACTTGGCCTTGGCCTTGGCTGCCCGATCCTCCTCGACTCTGATGTAGCCGGATGCCTTGTGCAAAGCATCTTTGAGGGTTTTGGTTTTTCCTGTCTTCAATCGCTCACTGAATGGTGAATCATCCTTCAAATTCTTGATAAGAATGTTGAAACACAGTTCATCCGACAGACTGCACTGGGAGACGATCGATCGGAACCGATCGATAAAATTGCACAGCGACTCCGTGTCGCCCTGGACGCACGCCCATAGATCGAGCGCTGTGGACTCCGTGTCGATGTAGATCGAATAATGCTTCAGGAACCTGGCTGTGAGCTCCTTGAAGCTATCGATAGAGTTCTTGGTAAGCTGCGAGAACCAGGTGAGGGCGCTTCCGGAGAGTGTCTCCACGAAGTACTGACAGAGGCATGCTTCCCGTTCCTCATCGGTGAAGCGAACACGTCCCATGACTGCGTTGAACGCGGTCAGGTGTCGCTTCGGGTCTGTCGTACCGGTGTAGCTTGGAGGTAGCTTCATCCGGCCTATGTCTTTGAGAGGAGCGCTGGTGATGGCTGACGTGAACGGGGTCTGTTGGGTCTCCTGGAGGATCTTGTCCAACTCTGGTGCTGAGGTCGTTGCCTTGTGGATCTTGCTGTGGATATCGTCAAGGTGTTGGTGGAGAAGATCAAGCTCTGAGACCGTCGTCGGGTCGGTACCTGCGGTATTGCGCGATGAACGAGCGTTCGAGCCTTCTGCCTGTGCTCTCTGCAGGTCGTCTGTCGGTGTCGTGCCGAACAGGTTGTTGACTAGCCTGGTCGTATCTGTGTTGCGAATCGGAGGGCGGGGAGGGGTGATTAGATCGGCCTGCTCTTGGGTATGAACTCTAGAGTTGAGAAGCCGATCTAGGTCTTCTCTGTAGGCGATCTGCTCGGCACGGAGAGATTCGAAGCGAGCATCCACCCCCTGCTGCAACTGCGCTGCGACCGACCTGATGATGGTGGTCATATCGATGGGAGGTGGCTGTGGTAGGCCGGTCGTGTTTGTGCCACCGGCCTGACCGACCTGATTTGTCCCTCCGATGTTCCGCGCGGTAGTTGTGTTATCTTCCTGATCGGTCTGGTGGCCCATCAGAAGCCCGGTGGCTGGGTCGACGATCAGATCCTGGGTGTTTCTTGTCGGATCGGAGGCTCCTGTGAGGTCGGTAGTGTTGATCGGTGTTTCAACCATCTTCGAGCTTCGTTATAAGTCAAAGAATGTTCTCCTAATCCCCTCAGACAGCGCCAACTGTAAAAACTCAAGTTCGACTTATAGAAGAACTAGGGTTTGAGGGTTTAAGAAGAGATCTTTTTATTAGAAGAAGCCGGAGCTTGATAGAATACAACGGTGTTTAGGTCGTCGGAACAAGAACGCTGACCTAAACCTTTATAGAAAGTAAAATCGAGAACTAAGAACGATTAGATTGCTTAATCTGCCTTAGGTCTCGAGGAGTGATTTTTGGATAGATTGAGGAGTCGAGGACTTCCTGTATTTATAGCCGATCAGGTCGGTCTTCAACCTGTTCAGAATAGGAAACTCTTGTCGGCAAGAAGGAGTTTCCTTTTTTCCTGAGGCTCGATAAATGGAAGATTTCCTTTTATGTCGCCGACTTGAAATTTGTTAGACGGACCGACCATAATTCATATCGGGCTTGTTAGAGACGGTACAGATCTCATCTCTAACAGTCTCGCTTTCCTCTGAAACTTTCAAGATGATTATCGCTTCTTTGTTACCATCCATTGCTTCACGGTAACAGAACCAACAAAAAATTGATTACTTTTGCTTCCATGTTTTTTTTTTAATTAATTTTTGCCATGGAACCAATGTTATTAGGTAGATCAATACCATTTAGCAAAAAAAAAAACAAGAGATATACTAGCAAATGAACCATCGATACTACAACTAAGACTGATAAAATGAGTTTCAACCATGATCTTTTTATATAAACCAAAGAAACCGAAGTTAAGCCAAGAACCAACAACCACACTTGGCAGAACCAAGACAAAAAGAACTACTCCAAGCTCGAAGCAGCAACAACAACGAAATAAAAAGAGCGTACAACCAACTCACCAGCAGCACCATAAACTACTACGAACACCAAAACTCCACAAAACCAATGAATTTGCATCAATAAAAAACTTAAGGATCCAGATCGTTGAAACACCATTGGGAAAACGTCAAAGAAAACCACAAACTTTTACATGCGAATACTCGCAATCCAGTTTTATAGACTAAAAACTGCTCACCTCTTTGCTAGAGCAAATTTGCTGATCGAAACCACTGATTTGTCTAGAAATCAACCCCAAAACTTTTGTTATCTATAATAGGTAGGTTACTCTTTCTATTTCACAATATTAGTTATTTTGACCAAAACACAAAAATTAACAATTTTTCTCCATAAATATATTAAATATATAAGTTAAATATAATTATCAAAAAGTTAAAAACATGTTTGATTACACAATATTCAATAAAGTATAAAATACATAAAAAATATCAAAATAACTTATATTTTAAAATAAAAAATATTTTCAAAACAACTAATATTATATATTATGAAACAAAAAGAGTATACAGTATAATAAACTCTCACATAACATTTAAATCCCATCTATAGAATACATATTGGTAGAATTTCATTTCATCACAAAAGACTGAAAAATGATTCTATATATATACATCGGATGGGTTTAGCCGATGAAAATGTTTCTGATTATAAGCAAAGAGCTTTCTGTTAAAATTCTTATTACGGTTTCACATTTGTGTAAAATTTTCAGCTTATTGTTGAAATTTGAAATCTTTGTTAATTAATTATTACTTCTTTCGGTGTTATATGACTCCCTGACGAAGAAACACACACCCAAACAAATCTTAGCTTAGCACCGTCGCGACCGAATTCGAAATTCCGGTAACCTTTATCGCCGGAAAATCCACCGCCCGTGTGGTTATCGATATCGATTCTCCTCGGATCTAGTGGCTCCATTTCTTCGTCCAGATCTCGTACTTTTAAATCCGATATTTCGACCTTGACTCGCGCAAGTCACGATGGAGGCGATCGATGAGTTGTCTCAGCTTTCGGATTCGATGAGACAAGCTGCGGCGCTGCTCGCTGACGAAGATCCCGAGGAGAGCTCTTCTTCTAGACGACCGGCCACTTCTCTCAACGTCGTTGCCCTAGGGAATGTGGTGGGTTTTCTCTTGCTCCTTTTTGTTCTCCTCGATGTGGTTGTATTCAGGGTTTATTTGTTTGTTTTATGATGTGATCGAGTGTAAATGTTGGATACTATATCGTGGATCTTGTGGATCTCGATGAGCTTTGTCGAAATGTTCCCGTAACGTAGGAGTTTGGTAGGATGGATTCTTCGTTCGTAGCTTGTTTTGTTTCGTTTCTCTTTTATTAAAAATTGTTTGATTCTGTGAGATTAAAACCTTGAAGAGAGAAGATTGATGATGTGTTTGATTTATGAAACTATGAGAAGAAAATTCAATTCAAGAAAAGTGTATTTCAGGAAGAAAAACTTATGAGCTTTGTTAGTCAGATCGAGGTTTTCCTAACCACTGTGATATGTCTTTCAATCGAACTCTCTGTTATGTAAAACACTCGTCTGATGGAAGATGGAAGAATAGATTGCTCTGTGTATGCGATTGGAACAAATATTTTATAAGTTTAGAGACTTAAGTTATCTCCTTTTGCTTGCTTAACCAGGGAGCTGGAAAGTCTGCAGTTCTGAATAGCCTTATTGGACATCCAGTTCTGGTAAGTTGTATATTGAGTTTGTGGGAGTTTGTTTACGTCACTATTGGTTGATACATTTTTTGAAGTTAACGACCTTCTGTTGCGCCTGTGTGCTACAAATTGCTATGGACAGCCTACGGGTGAGAATGGTGCTACACGGGCTCCTATAATCATTGACCTGAGTAGGGAGCAATCTCTGAGCAGCAAGGCAATAATCTTGCAGATCGACAATAAATCTCAACAAGTTTCTGCAAGTAAGGCTTGATTTATGAAGCTCTGTCTGCGTTTAAGATACAATTCATTTGATTAATTTTTTTGCAATTTTTCTGTTTTATTTTTTGCATGGGTGTATTATAGGTGCCCTAAGACATTCTCTACAGGATAGGCTTAGCAAAGGAGCCACAGGGAGGGGTCGTGATGAAATATACCTAAAACTTCGTACAAGCACAGGTAGGTCGTTTCTTACTTGCTCAGTCATAATTGTGCAGCCCTATTTATTGGTCAATTTAACATCCATATTATCAAAGCTAAGTTGGGTATCTGAATATGTCATTGGCATCAGTGAGCGGCTCAGCTGTAATGTGTTGCCACCACTAAATAAGTCTATGCACATTAGCTGCTTCATATTTTTTTGTGGCAATCTGTAGCTAATTTGTGGATATTAGATTATATGTCTAAGTGAAGCTCTAACTTAATATGCCATTCTTTGGAACATTAATAATCAATTTCAATTGGTTTCTTACTGTCCTCTGTTACATCATGACATATTTGTGCCCTTTGAATTTCAGCTCCACCTTTGAAATTGATTGATTTGCCTGGACTGGACCAGAGAATTGTGGACGATTCAATGGTAAGATTATGAACTGTATGATGCCTTTGTGATGCCCCTAATCCACCTGTCAACCATAGAGATTTTCAATATTTTTTTATTCAACATTCTGGCTGAAAGAGCAACCTAGATTCATATCATATATTCCTTGTCATCTTGTAATTTGTTTCTTTACTCTCTTGGCAAGATTGGTGAACATGCACAGCATAATGATGCCATACTGCTGGTTGTTGTGCCCGCTAGCCAGGCATCTGAAATTTCGTCATCTCGAGCCTTGAAGATCGCAAAGGAGTATGATCCAGACAGTGAGTACATTTACCCTTCATTATATTTCTCAATACCTACTAACTGGTGACCTTGCTATATTTGGATTAAAGCATTATATTTTAATTTTTTTGTATATGATAACAAATAATATTGACATCTTTCCATGTTTATAGGCACTAGGACTGTAGGAATTATCAGCAAAATTGACCAGGCAGCAGAGAACCCAAAAGCCCTTGCAGCAGTTCAGGCTCTTCTTTCAAACCAGGGACCTTCAAAAACAACGGATATTCCATGGGTTGCACTTATCGGTCAATCTGTCTCAATTGCATCTGCGCAGTCTGGAGGCAGTGAGAACTCTTTAGAAACTGCTTGGCGTGCTGAGAGTGAAAGTCTTAAATCCATTTTGACTGGTGCTCCACCAAGCAAACTTGGCAGAATTGCCTTGGTGGACACCCTTGCTAGCCAGATTCGAAGCAGAATGAAGCTCAGGCTACCAAATATCTTGTCTGGGTATTTCCTCTCTCCATATGTTTGCTTTAATATGCTATATTTGCAATTATTTCTTCTGCCTATTTCCTGTACTTAGGGAGACTTACAATTTGCTTTATGAAAGACAACCCTGTTTTTTTATCTTTGTAGTTGAAGTCAATCTTTAGTCTTAGTTATGAATATTCTGAACTACCAAATTGATGATTAGAGAGACTTGCAATCTTTAGATTTTGTCCACCATTATTACTGAGTTTTGAACATAACATCTCTTGCTTGCAAGGTCACTGGTCGATACTCATCCTCTATTAAGTTGATATGTTTCTTTCGTCTCCCAATATGCGTCGACTGTCTTTTGTTTGAGTTTTCTGGATGATTATTCAGGGACATGATTCTTATGAAAAATCTGAACTCTCAAATTTCTTTCTTGCATGCGCAGGCTCCAGGGCAAGTCTCAAATAGTGCAGGACGAATTAGCAAGGCTTGGTGAACAACTGGTTAGCAGTGCTGAAGGTACAAGGGCTATAGCTTTGGAGTTGTGCCGTGAGTTTGAGGACAAATTTCTTCTCCACTTAGCTGGTGGTGAAGTGAGTATTTTCTTACATTGGCTGAACAATATTTTCATCTGGAATTTTTAAATAAGAGCAACCACCGGTCGCCAAGTAAAATATTATCAATCAGCCTCTTCATTTTTATACTTGCAATGGAATAAGTGTGGTGCTGTTTTGAATTATAGGATAATAAAAATTAGAAAGATGGGCTTACTGTATATCATCTGGATTTTAATTGGATGTGTTTGCTATATGGTTCACTGAAAGTTTTTGAATTGCATGTCTTGTGGTTGTGCCTTTTATCTGAAGCCCCTTTTGCTGCTTAGTACATTATTTTTCTAACAATTTGGGTTCAGGGAAGTGGCTGGAAAGTTGTTGCAAGTTTTGAAGGCAATTTCCCCAACCGTATCAAGCAGCTTCCATTGGATAGATATTTTGACTTGAATAATGTCAAAAGGGTGGGTTTCTACTTTTTTCTGCCTCGAATTTTATGAACAGTTAAACAATCTAGACTGGAGTTTGACAGATTGATTTCCCAATGGTTTCAGATCGTTTTAGAGGCAGATGGTTATCAACCTTATCTTATATCTCCGGAGAAAGGGTTGAGATCATTAATAAAAGTTGTTCTTGAGTTGGCTAAAGACCCGGCACGACTATGCGTTGATGAGGTGTGTCCATGTTAGTGTTTATAGTTTATCTTGTGTCTTTTTCCTCTAGTATGAGAGCTGCGTAAGATTGAAATTCTGAAATTTACGGATTTGCGAAACATTGGCCATGGCTTGTTACACATAGTCTTCTTCATCATATGCACTATGATATTTGAATTTTCCTGATCACAATTTATTGGAGCCCTACTCACTCATACTGTAAATTCTGTCACGTTTCATTTTATTCTGAAGATTTTCATACATTGTTTCCTGACCGTCTCATTTGTTGATGAGCTATATGGTCTGAACTTTTGATTAGGTTCACAGAGTGCTTGTTGACATAGTTTCAGCTTCCGCGAATGCAACACCTGGTCTTGGGAGATATCCTCCTTTTAAGAGAGAGGTAATAGTGCTTTTCACTCCTTAATCACTAACATTTTTCAACTTCATAATAGCTATCCCTTTTCTTAAATAATCATCAACCAGGTTGTAGCTATAGCAAGTGCTGCACTTGATGGATTCAAGAGTGAAGCTAAGAAGATGGTAGTTGCACTAGTTGATATGGAACGTGCCTTTGTGCCACCGCAGCACTTCATCCGCCTTGTGCAAAGAAGGTAACGTCAGATTGCCATTCTTTACTTTTCGGGTCTGTCATTTCTAGTGAATTCGCGACTCTTACTTATTGATCATTATCTTATTTCTATCTTTCAATGTATGGCGGTTTACAAGTTTGATTGTTTCGTTTTATGATTTTCACTATTTTTTTGGCTCTTTGGTTGTATGGTTTTCATCAGAATGGAAAGGCAGCGTCGTGAGGAAGAGCTAAAAGGCCGTTCCTCCAAGAAGGGACAAGATGCAGAGCAGTCTCTCTTAGGCCGGGTTTGCCTTTATCTCAGAATCATTCTCGATTCACTTTCTGGATAGTGCTTTCTTCTTTTTATTATATGGAAAGTACATAATGTAACAATTCTTGTAAATCAGGCAACGAGTCCTCAGCCAGATGGACCATCGACTGGTGGTAGCTTGAAATCGTTGAGAGACAAATTTATTCCACAAGATAAAGATAAAGATAAGGATAAAGATAAAGAAACGCCAGAGGTCTCTGGTCTAAAGACTGCTGGACCTGAGGGGGAGATAACCGCAGGTCCTTATTCTAACATACTTCTACACAGAGGCTGCCTGACAAAATTGGTTTTCCTTTCGATCATAGATAAATTTTACTCTGTCGTGCAGGGTACTTAATGAAGAAAAGTGCAAAGACAAATGGGTGGAGTAGGCGATGGTTTGTTCTAAATGAAAAAACTGGAAAGGTTAGCATTTATCACAAATATCCTTGAGTAGTTGATCCAAATATTTGCAAAAGAGAAAGGTGTGTCATTGTAATTTAAACTTAATGCTAGCAGTATATTATACCTTACACTTTTGAAATTTTCTCTCTTTTTTTTTCTAGAAGAATTTTCTTATGATTGTTGCTGAAGTGATCTGCCTCTGTATTTGCCTCTCTTCAGCTTGGTTATACGAAAAAGCAAGAAGAAAGGAACTTCCGCGGCACTGTAACTTTGGAGGTATCATTGAGTATTATTACTCACTTTTCTTTGGTCGGATATGTAACTGCAATTAAAAGAGTAAAAATAGGGTTTCATATTTACGTTTCTCTTCCACCTGGTACTTTGTGAAAAGTGATGATTACCTCTAATTAGGATGCCTACTCTGCAAAACGTTTTAATAACCATTACTGCTGATTAGAAAAACCTTGGATGTTTCATAACATGCAGCCTTTTGCGATTTTGTCTCACGAAACTCTGTTAATCTGCTCAGGAATGCAGTATCGAAGAAATTTCTGATGATGAAGGAGAAAAATCAAAGAGCTCTAAAGATAAGAAATCAAATGGACCTGATTCGAAAGGACCAGGCCTTGTATTTAAGATAACATGCAGGGTTCCATATAAGACTGTACTTAAAGGTATGTCAAGCGATAAGCAACATTAGGTGCTTGGCCCTCTTTTTGCTCTTATATGTAAGCAACATCTAAAAAGCTCTCATGTTGCAGCTCACAATGCACTGGTTCTTAAGGCCGAGAGCATGGTCGATAAGAATGAATGGATTAATAAGCTGCAAAAGGTTATCCAATCCCGAGGAGGCCAAGTTGGTGGCGCTTCCATGAGACAAAGCCTTTCAGAAGGTTCACTTGTAAGTTACACAAGGAAACTATCCTTCTTATTGTGTGATTTTTCTTTTCCACTTTCCCTTTAAAGTCAAACCTGCACAAAAGTTGCAGTTGCTGGTCTTAATCCAGTACCAATATCATGATGATAAAAGTCTTTGTTATGAATTTCTTACTTAGGAGAAAGTGAAATTTAATAACTTTGTTGTTGAATGTGTAAAAAGTGAAATTGATGTCTCTGTGGTTCGTACTTGAAGAGGGTTAAGATTTTGTTATACGTAAACGTTGAAGATAGCTTTGTTTGGGCATGTAAAGCATTTAGTTTCCTTGATGTGGTGGTAAAAATTACGGTTTTGCTTTGGTTGTTTGATTTTCATTTATATTTCTTTCAGGATAAGATGGTTAGGAAACCGGCTGACCCAGAAGAGGAATTACGGTGGATGTCCCAAGAAGTACGAGGTTACGTTGAAGCTGTTCTCAACAGCTTAGCAGCAAATGTCCCAAAGGTAAAACTAATTTAACATTCTTGTGAATCTTCAAATTCTAAACTCCATCTCGCTTTTTTATTACTCACTCGATCACATTATCTAAACCCGTTGCTTGCTTCAACAGGCAGTTGTTCTTTGTCAAGTGGAGAAATCAAAGGAAGACATGCTGAATCAGCTCTACAGTTCTATCAGGTTTCATATCCTTCCCTAATCTATTATTGTAAACCTCAATATGGCTGTGACTGCTGATTTATCTCTTTCTCTCTCAAATCTACAGTGCGATAGGTAATGAGAGGATAGAATCGTTGATTCAAGAGGATCAAAACGTGAAAAGACGAAGAGACCGTTACCAGAAGCAGTCCTCTCTTCTCTCAAAGCTCACAAGACAGCTTAGCGTCCACGATAACCGCGCAGCTGCTGCTTCGAGCTGGTCCGACAGCGGCACGGGTATATATATACACAACACATCTACACTTTCAACTCTGTGCTAATATGTTAACAGCAAAAACTAATTCAGTTTCTTGTTCGTTCGTTCTTATATATTCGCAGAAAGCAGCCCAAGAACCAATGGCGGGTCTTCAGGCGAGGATTGGATGAACGCGTTTAACGCTGCTGCTAGTGGACCGGACTCATTGAAGAGGTATGGATCTGGTGGTCATAGCCGACGGTACAGCGATCCAGCTCAGAACGGTGAGGATTCTTCTGGTTCTGGTGGTAGCAGCCGTCGCACCACGCCGAACCGGCTCCCACCGGCACCGCCACAGTCTTCTGGATCATCTTACAGGTATTAGAACCTGTTTTGGTTTACAAGACAGGTTTGTTATTGGAGAAACCCATTGAACACATTCTTTTTTTTCTCTTCTTTTTTTTGGATTGGTCCCCTTTTCCGGGACAAGTTTTTTTCTTATTTCTTCACTAGTTTTTTTTTAAAAGAGATGATTATGACATATGATGATGATGTACTTTGCGTGTGTTTGTAGATAGAGATATTGTTAGAGACGCACATATCATGAATCTGGAAAGTTGTCTACTTACCAGACAAAATGTTTACAATAAAAATTGTAGTCTAATGTAGTCAGGGAAAATCGTATCACCCCTAAAATAAAAGAAATACACAAGTGATATTGATAGTCAAATCAAATGAAGTCTAACAGCATATTATAAATCGAATCGACCCTTCTTTAGGTTCATTCCTCTTTCAGACAAAAAAAAACCTGAGGAATGTGTTAAACAAGTTAGTGGTGGACAGACTCGACCTATGTGTCTCACACCTTTGTCTTCACTCATGGTCTCGCCCTATTCGGGAAACAAGAGATCGCCTTATTCTGGAAACAAGAGATCGAGGTGGAAGTTCTCCTAACTTGTAATAATTTTATCTATACTAACATTTCCTTGAAAGGGAAATCTTTTTTTTACAACCTTGTATATATAATAGAGTTTCTGTTCACAGAGAGATAAAGTTGATATGGGATAAAATTTTAACTTCGCCCTAAATCATAACATCCCGTGGCTATTGATCGGAAATTTCAACAATATCATAAAAACTTCTGAAAAAATTAGGTGGATCTAATAGAATAGAAGGATAATTTGCGAAGTTTAAATCTTTTATAGGAGAAAATGACTTATATGACCTTTGCTTTATGGTAATTTTAACTTATGCATGATGATTTTGTTCGATGCGAACTTGATAGAGCAATGTCGAATATCATATAGGCAGAAGTGAATATCTTTGATATAAGGGATCATACCATCGATCAATAATAACAATTTTTGACCCACTTCAAAAGAAAAAATGGGTTTTTTCGATACGATCTCAGACTGAGAAACAATGCAGATGTAAAGAAACTAGTGTACAAAACATGAAACTTATATGTCATAGACGTAGTTGAAGCGCGAATCAGCAGATGCAGAAAAGCAATAATTGGGTGGCACAAAGAGAAATACGTCAAGAGGTGCAGAATCATTGAAGAGTTCCAAACAACACTAAAGCAAACTCTATCTAACCAAACCCCAAATACAGAGTTCACCTCCCAAACACTGACTAATCTGAAGCTGGCCTCCTGTCAGAAAGAGGAAGAATTCTAGAAGAAAAAAAGCAAACAACTTTGGTTAGCTATGGGAGATAGAAACACATGATACTTTCATGTAACTATATAAGGAAAGCAATTAATAAACAAATTCTCAGTTATTAAGGACACTCATGGCAACCTGGTTTATGAAAAAGAAAATCGTAAGGTAATTACAGATTATTACAGTAACTTGTTAACCTATCAGACCAGGAAAGCCCTAAATCATGACACACAGTGGCCATTGATCGGAAATTTCAACGATATCATAAAAGCTTCAGAAAAAGTAGGTGGATCTAATAGAACGGAAGGATAATTGCAAAGTTGAAATCTTTTATGGCAGAGAATGACTTATATGACCTTTGCTTTCTGGGAATTTTGACTCGTGCAAGGGACAAAGATATGATCACTTTTTTTGATGCGAACTTGATAGAACAATGTCGAATATCATATGGGCAGAAGTGAATATGTTTGATATAAGGGATTATACCATCGATCAATAATAACAATTTTTGACCCACTTCAAAAGAAGATAAAGGAGTTTTTTCGATACGATCTCAGACTGAGAAACAATGTGGATGTGAAGAAACTAGTGTATAAAGCATGAACTTATATGTCACAGACGTAGTGGAAGCGCGAATCAGCAGATGCAAGAAAGCAATAATTGGCTGGCACAAAGAGAAACACTTCAAAAGAAGAAAAAGGGGTTTTTTCGATACAATCTCAGACTGAGAAACAATGTGGAAGTGAATAAACTAGTGTATAAAGCCTGAAACTTATCTGTCACAGACGTAGTGGAAGCGCGAATCAGCAGATGCAGGAAAGCAATAATTGGCTGGCACAAAGAGCAACATGTCAATAAGCGCAGAATCATTGAAGAGTTCCAAACAACACTAAAGCAAGCTCTATCTAACCAAACCCCAAATACAGAGTTCATCTCCCAAACACTGACTGATCTGAAGCTGGCCTGTCAGAAAGAGGAAGAATTCTAGAAGGAAAAAGGCAAACAACTTTGGTTAGCTCTCGGAAATAGAAATACATGATACTTTCATGTAACTACATAAGGAAATCAATTAATATACAAATTATTACATCAACTTTTTTACCTCTCAGACGAGCTTAAAACTTTTCACAGTACATAAGGTTCTTAAACCCAAAATCTTGGATTGATTCTCTGGAAACCAAACACTTTTCCACTTTAGCCAAGCTCGTACTCTCCCAGGATGCACGACAAAGTCGGAGTGAATCTTTCTAACGCGGCATTGCACTTGCCAAACCTTCGGGTATCAAAAAAAGAATCTTGAAATATTTTGGAGGAATGGCAAAAGGGTAATCTTTTTTTACAACCTTCGTATACACAGAGTTTCTGGCCACAGAGAAAAAAGTTGATACGGGATAAAATCTTAACTTAAGCCCTAAAACATGACATATAGTGGCTATTGATCGGAAATTTCAACGATATCATAAAAGCTTCAGAAAAAGTAGGTGGATCTAATAGAACAGAAGGATAATTTGCAAAGTTGAAATCCTTTAAGGCAGAGAATGACTTATATGACCTTTGCTTTCTGGGAATTTTGACTCATGCAAGGGACAAAGATATGATCACTTTGTTCAATGCGAACTTGATAGAACAATGTCGAATATCATATGGGCAGAAGTTAATATGTTTGATATAAGGGATCATACCATTGATCAATAATAACAATTTCTGACCCACTTTAAAAGAAAAAGGGGTTTTTTCGATACGATCTCAGACTGAGAAACAATGTGGATGCGAAGAAACTAGTGCACAAAGCATGAAACTTATCTGTCACATACGTAATAAAAGTGTGAATCAGCAGATGCAGGAAAACAATAATTAGCTGGCACAAAGAGCAACACGTCAACAGCCGCAGAATCATTGAAGAGTTCCAAACAACATAAGAACAAGCTCTATCTAACCCAACCCCAAATACATAGCTCATCTACCAAACACTGACTAATCTGAAGTTGACCTATCAGAAAGAGGAAGAATTCCAGAAGCAAAAAAAGCAAACAACTTTGGTTAGCTTTAGGACATAGAAATACATGATACTTTCATGTAACTACATTAGGAAGAAAATCAATAAAAAAATTCTCAGTCATTAAGGATACTCATGGAAACCTGGTTTATAAAAAAGAAATTTGTAAAGTAGTTACAGATTATTACAGTAACTTGTTTACCTCTCAGACCAGCGAAAGACTTTTCACAGTACATGAGGTTCTTAAACATAAAATCTGGGATTGATTCTCTGGAAACCTAACACTCTCCACCTTCGCCAAGCTTGTACTCTCCCAGGATGCGCGACAAAGTCAGGAGTGAATCTTTTTAATGTGGCATTGCACTTTCCAAACCTTCGGGTATCAAAAAAAGAATCTTGAAATATTTTGAAGGAACGGCAAAAGGGTTGACTCCAGACTTATTTAAAATCAGTCGAGAAGTTGGAAGCAATTATTGAGCCCACTTTCACCGTGTCCTATTGGTAAACGACACATCAGTAGTAAGTTTGACCGAAATGATGAGCTTAGCGCCTAGGTCTTCCCAACGACTCCTTAACCAACTATTCCCTAGTAGTTGGCACGCTTTCCAATGCACAAGCGTCCTGTGGTAGTGTATCCGCTCCCTCTGACTGCCTCTCAGATGGGACAGATTAGAGGGAAATATGTATAAAAAGGGAAGAGAAAGTCAAAGAGGAATGGGATCAGATATGAGGAGATTCAAAGGGCAGATCTTGAAGGAAGGCAAAGAAGACGATGGAACTAGAGAAAGAAATAAGAATATAAAGGGCAGTACGAACACTAAGGCTCCGCTGGAACCCATTAAGATCATTAAACAGGGTACCCAAACAATAATACCATAACCACTCATCCACCCTCCTGGTTATTTGTTCTCAATTTGAGTGTCAGAAAATCTTCGAGAGGAAAACTCTTTTCTGATCTGCCAAAGACCCAGTTCATCCGTTGAAAATGTTTGCAGGACCCGAACAATTTTACACACAGGAATCACATATCTCTCATCTCTAGAAGACGAATCTGAATCCAGACAAATACACCCTGCATAAGGAATCCATAATTTATTCCCAAACATATAGATAGTCAAATGAATGTCTAACAACATTATTATTTAATACACAAAATAAAAATCAGATTTGTGTGTAACATGGATTTTTTCCTATTAGAAATAGTAGATAAACTAAATTACCAAAATTGGTATACACACGAGCATATATATTAACATTCTATATGAGAAATAATTATCGAAACAAAATACCACTATTTACTATTTGTTGTCAAGTTTGTTTTTTAAAGAATCAATTTTATTAATATAATAATGTCGAAAATTTAGCTAATAAACATATATCTTTAATAAGTTTTCATAAATTTGCTTTTAAAAAATGTTAGATACATGAAAACATATATTATAATTTTCTAAAAAAAAATTACTACTATTTTTCAATTGTTGAAAAGACCAAATTTTATATAAGGACAATTAGAAAATTATTTCTTTTTAATTTTCATTTTAGCAAAGTAATCACATATATCAAATACATTTGAAGTCTTTTTTTTTATATAATAATACCCCCTTGTATTTTAGTAGAAACTCTAGGATTTTCGTGGTTGTTTAGTTTGTTAGAAAAAAAGAGATAAAAAAATTAGTTTGCAAACTTTTGATATATAATTTTATTTTGTCAAAAGAGTTTGCAAATTACCAAACGTTTTGTTAGAAATGATTAATTTTCCAATCTACTCTTTTATATATGTTTATAATACCATATATTTTTAATTTATAAAGTAGTGGAATATAGCTGACATATCGATATCCTGTGGAATATAGCTGACATATCGATGATAGTGTCAAAGTGGTCTCTGGGTCAGCCAGAAATCAAATTTATCATGAATATGGGTCTGCACAAAATGTTTTCATGGAAAGGGTTGGGATTCCTTTCTAGTCCAGTTGGTGTTCCAAAGCGCTTACATCCAGTTACATAGACATGTAACAGATTTGAGGAGGCAAATGTGGTTT